GGGCGGCGGTGTTGCCTATATTTCCATAAGTGATCAATAACGGAAACCTTTGTTTGGTCATATTTCTACTGCAACTGAATTAAAAAGCATTTACATATACCTGAAGGATTGCAAAGATATTCAGAATAAAAAAGAGTCCTATAAACTTGTCCTTGTTCATATAAAAATAATTGTGTAAATTCACGCGGGAACTCAGCGATCCGAATTTCAGTTTGGATTTTCAGAGTTGACAGAGTCGTTGCAAAAGGCATTTATTTTAAACTCACAAGAATTTCCAGTGTTTGACAAAATGCAAAATCTATAGAAAATTAAACCAGTACAATTCGTTGAAAATTTTAACAAAATTGTTTGAAATATAGTTTGCCCACTCGCTCAACGATGGGCGGCTAAATCCAGGCTTGGCACGCTCGCCGCCATATTGAATTTGTGAACGGATTTGTTAATTAACTGTGTAAGGTAACCATACACAACTAGAACAGTCTATACACAACATATAACAGTGGGTGTGAAAAAACTGAAAATAACACGCGTTAGGATAACATAGCTACTCTTTGTTGAATATTTTAGGATTTGCGAGTTTAGAGAATTAACAGAAATGGACGTTCGTCAAGCTAATCATGCATGCACTCAGAAAAAGTGACTGAACCCCTGACGGGAATCGAACCCACGACCTTCTGAATTCTGGACAGACATTCTAATTTCTAACCATTGAGCTAGTAGTCAGTGGTGCCAAGTAACGAAGTAAATGTACTTCGTTACGTACTGTACTTGAGTACTATTTTTAAGAAGTTAGCATGTAGGTCTGGACTACATGTAGTCTGGACTACTTTTACTTGGAACAAAGTCGTTTTAAGAAGTAACGTTTTACTTCGCTATTTTCATTTTTTGACGAAGTATGTCGTCACTTTCTCACATTTGTTTAATTTTATGTGATTTATTCCCGATTTATTTTAATTTTGGGATAGGTAATTGGACCTCCACATGCGTTTGGAATCTCTCGTTTGTGGCATACTTAGGCAAACATTATTTATTTAAAGGATTTCTTATAAGTTCAATGGGGTCTGGAAAGTAAACCATGACGTGAAATATTATACAATTACTTTATGGTTTCCGTGTTTGAATGGCCTGATCCAAACATGCACGCGGGAATATTGCGAGAGTTAAGAAAAGCGCGCGAAAGACGAGCCGAAGGCGAGTGATTTTGCGCGCTTTTCTTAACTCGAGCAACATTCCCAAGTGTTTGGATCAGGCCATCCAAACACGGAAACCATAAAGTACGTAATTGTTTTATAAAATAAAAACTTTCCGTGTTAAAATTTCACTTTAAAGAACTTTCACTTTAAATTCCCGTGTTTGGATGGCCTGATCCAAACACGGGTTTCGACCAATAAGAAGAGCACGCGTTATGTACATGTTATTTTATAATATATATTATGGTGCACGCATGCATTTTATGCGTGTGCTGTTTTGTGTCTTTTGTATGTCAATCCATTGGAGAAGTCCCCCCCACCCTTTTACACGCTACATGCAATAGTACTTTTACTTTTACTTTGTACTTCAAGTATTTTTTAATTAAGGATACTTTGTACAGTGGCACCGCCAGCTCGATAATTGGGAGGGGGGAGGGGGCAATATTCATATCTTCGTGTTCTGGATTATTACCTTCTTTTGAAATCGATTGTTTTTATGGTCTGTGAACACAAATATATGAATATTCGCCCCCCCCCCAATTATCGAGCTGGCGGCGCCACTGACTTTGTACTTTTTACTTAATTTAATTTTAATTTAATTTATTAACTTCGCCAAAGGTACTTTTTCCGTTACTTAAGTACGTTTTGCCTCCAGTACTTTTTACTCTTACTCAAGTCGTTTTATTGTTAATTACTTCTACTTTACTCAGGGACGCCGGAACTGGGGGGGGGGCAGGAGGGGCAGTCGCCCCCGTTGCTCTTTACCAGGAGCCAGGAGGGGCAAGGGGGGGGGGGCAAAGGTGCCCTTTCAATTTAAAGGTTTGCCTTGGCGAAATAGCGAATTGTCAGAAATGTTAGTGCAATTCTTTTACGAATTTGGTTCAGAAAATGCAAGAAATGCACTCATCGAGCTTCAAGAATAGCAGTTATAGCAAAATCGTCTGGCGGAGAACCCCTTCACAATTCAAAAGTGCCCTTTCACGAAAATCTGCCCCCCCCCCCCTCCCCTCAAAGTAATTTAGGCACCACTGCCTATATTTTTGGGAAATCCATTTTGAAAGATCCAAAAAAAAGTCAATCTCGTTCCCCGAGCCTGCGATCCTTGGTTTCCTTCCCAAGGATCGCAGGCTCGGGGAACGAGATTGAAAAAAAGTATGATTAAATTTTCATTCCAGTCCTTGCGAGCACGCGCGATAATCACGCGTGGCAATCCAACATGGGAAGAAAACGCGCGTGAGAAGCATTCTTGGCTGCAAAACATCAACACAGACTAACTACAGACAGAAATATCATGCGTTTAAAAAGATTTCTTTTACGATATTATCCACCTGGTAAGTATAGTAAGCTTTGAAACATATTAAACTTAGTAGTTGTTGCCTTGTTTTTGCTTTGTGAGGGTTTTGTACACACGATAACACTTTTGTGTCAAAACATTCAATGTTGTCTGATTGACCCATAAATAATATTTTTATACATTCATTTATGCCAAATATCACATGAAATAAATTAATATTCCGGCGATTCTGGCTAAACTAAAGCTTCCAAATGATTAAATACTGGATTAATTTTATCAATATATACCTTGGCTATTTTGTTTGTAAAATGATCACATGTTGTGTGACCAATACCAGCTTGTGATGTTTATAGAATGCGATATATATTTATTTAGTAGTTCACACTTGGCAACTGTTAGTGATTCAGGTTTCTGACATAACTCCTATTCACATTTATACAGAATTTGTTTGAATATACACAAATATTCTGTGAGTTGACATTCTTCCCATATTATTTGAATGTGGAATATTGCATATAATGAAATAGAACTTTTTAAAAACAGTCCAAATGTGACAGTCCATCCCCATGTGTTGTTTCCATGGTAAATGGTTCAGGTTATTTTTGCATATTTAGTAATAACTTGGGATTCATATTACACAAGGTTTTCAAATATTGAGAGGCTTTTGATTTCACGTCAAGATTTTGTTTGGTGTCTCACTCGATTCAATAATAGTTGAAGGGTCTTGTGAAAATGAAAATTAATATTAATTAATTATTATTTTTTAATGTTCATGGAAATTATCAAGTGGAAATTTTATATTCATTGATTAGATCTAACCAGGAGCAGTTGCGAAAAATGCAACTATACGTTCTCTGGCAGGAATTGAACCTGCTGCCCTGCGGTTAATTCTCTAACCAACTGTGCTACGGTACAGCTACTGTTAGTTGATGATGTCATCAGATGACATTAGCCACTTTTTTTCAAATATCAATAATGCTTTCTGAAATCGACTTGCTTGATAAATCAAAGTGTATAAACACACGGTAGTGTAGTGTACCTTACATGAACATGCTTACATGAACACACTTACATGAAGTAATTGAACATGCTTACAGGTAGCTTAAAGCATTATTTACTGCTTGTGCTTAACGGGAGGCTGGGAGTCAAAATGAAATAAAAAAATGTCTGACCAAATTCCAAAATGTCCAAACAAATTTCATTTTGGTCAGATGTTTTTCAGATATTTTTTCTTTACTTGTCAAGGGAAGAGTACTGGTCCGTGGAGCCTCAATGGATTAAAACAAAGATGATGTATAATTATCTTTCCCTAACCTCATTCTTCTCCCTAATTACTTGTAGAAAAATGCTGGACCTGAATTCTTAAGGCCATGTTACACAAGGCAATTTTTGATGCAACTTGCAATGCAATTTTTGACATAGAACCATGTTATCTAAAAAGTATTGCAGTTATTTGGCAGAGAAATTGTGAGCATGGCCCACAGTTAACTCTGCCAAGTGAACATATTTTATCCTGCTTCTTTCATCCTTCATCCCTTAAGACAGAGTATGATATGTAAATAAAATGTTGGCAGAGTAGAATGCAGGCTATATGCTTACATTTCTCTCTGACTACTTTATATTAAATAACATCTGTGTGACTAACATCTGACATTGCTTTGCAAGTTACAGCAAAACCTACCTCATGTAACATTGCCTTTAGAGTTCTTTATACACTTCTAACTCATAATGCCCAACTACTAACTTCCTGTTGAAGGATCTTTGCTTGAAATGTCGATTTTCGCTTAGTTTGTATTTTGCTTTGCATCCCTAGCAACGAAAGCTTGTTATTATCAGCACTACCTACACTGGCACAGACCGTTGAACATTAATTCCCAACACAATAATCTGGCATTAAACTGTAGAAACAGGATGCTTTGCAAAACATTGGTTAACCTAATGTTATTAAACTGGTTAACCCATTATTAACCCAACACCTTCCCCATTGATATATTCAATTGTCTGGTTTTGACAGCGTAAAATAACAAACAGGCTTTTAGGGGGTTTTACAGGCTTTTAGGGGGTTTTACAGGCTTTTAGGGGGTTTTACAGGCCTTTAGGGGGTTTTACAGGCTTTTAGGGGGTTTTACAGGCTTTTAGGGGGTTTTACAGGCTTTTAGGGGCTTTGGTGGCGCAATCGTCAGAGCAAGTGTCTTTCACCTCAGAGATTGTGGGTTTGATCGTCACATCGGACTAATTATACTTATGTGAAAAGAGTTAGATTAGTCAACCCTCTACCGAAAGTCGAATGAGACGTTAGTGATTCTTTCGCATTTGAAAGTTTGCAACAGCAGCACGTGCTCAAGTGAAGCCAGAAAAAGTGGAAAAGCTGGTGTTCCTAGCAGAGAACTTGTAACTGTAAGCCAAGATACTCATGTAAATACGCTATTTGTAAATTTTGATCTTGTAAATATTATGATGCGTGTATGTAATATGTCTTAAAATATAATCTATTAAATAAATACTGATAATAACAACTGTTTTTGAAACTAAAGCCTTGCACATGTAGTATTTTAACTGTAGTAAATTAATACATTTGCAAATACGTTTACTGATAAAAATCGGTTCACTCGGTTTTTTCTCGACGGTTTTCGGTTTTTATCCCGAACCACATCACCCTAGTTACAACTTACTTACTTACATTTTTCAGGTATAATTTTGGAATATGAACAGTCAAAGACTGTAAAAACAAAATCAATTGATTTACTACATCTTAAACCAAGGTAAGAGCAGTACATGATTATTTTCAGTCTGGTTACATTGTAATGGCCAGAACTTTATATTTACCAAATCCATGGTCCAAAATTGGTTTTGTTATGCATGTTTTGACACGAGGGAATTTAGAGCTATTTAGGTATACGACTACTGTACATTCAAAAGCTTATTAATTTATTACCAATACACAATTACTCACGGATGTTGCCATTCCCACAATGTCAATTTCACAGCCATTACTGCGGATTCAGGTCACAGAGTAGATAAGACATACAGAGACGTAACTGACCGTTGTAAACACTGCGGAAGATTGCGTTATCATGTACCCACTTTTTTTCAGGCAACCGGGCGAAAAATGATCAACTGCGCGTGCTCAGCAAGTTTAAAGTGAGTCGTCATCAGGTCGTCATCCAATCAGATACATGCATCTAGTAACTTGCCGAGCATGCGCACAAAAAATGTGGGTATACTAGTTACGTCTCTATATGTCTCTACTCTGTGTTCAGGTAGACCGTTAAACGCGAAAAGTTGTCGCGTTAGTTTTAACAGTTGTACGATGACGTTTCTAGGCAGATTTTCAGACGTTTCTAAGGCGTGACTTCAACGTTTATTTTCAAAATTTAACCGTTGCAATTACAACGTTTACATTTTGAAAATAAACATTGAAGCCACGCCTTAGGTGCTGATTACATGGTGCCGAGCTGGCCCGGTTAACCGGGCTGACTCGTTTGTTTAGGACCTTACTGTGGTTTTAAAACTCGCGTAAAATAAATTTGCGATAAATAATTGGTTTTGTATAGATGCAAAATCATCCTAAACCCGATTTAAAACTCATTTTGCGGCCCAAGTAAGATTTTCGTGACATTTTTCAGCCCGATTAACCGGGCTGGCCCGGTCCATGTAATCAGCCCCTTAGAAACGTCCGAAAATCTGCCTAGAAACGTCATCGTACAACCGTTAAAACTAACGCGACAACTATTTGCATTTAACGGTCTACCTGAATCCGCAGTAAATGACTTGAAAAAGTTGACATGAGAATGTGAAATTAATGAAGTTGTTTGTGCGAGTGGATGAATAAATGGGTCAACTGAAATTTGCTGTATTGTCATATTTCTACTATTAATAAATGTTTTAAAATAATTTCATTGTTGCAGTTCGGATGTAGAGGCGTTACTGGACGAGATTGTTGCAAAGGAACCGTTAATAACTCCTTCAAAAGTTGAACAAGTTCGAAAACTTATCATACGTATCCTTTTCCTTCAAAATTTTGCTTATTAGCCACTGACAGATATTATTTTAATATATTACTGCATTTTGTTCTCTGCATTCAATACACCCTTCCGGAAAGTATGCCACTTTGGCTATAGACAGGCACGCTGAGATGGGAGCATTTTGCCCCAGCCCCCTAGCTCAAAAAGGCCCTCCCAAAGCAAGTAAGCAACGAAGGCCCTTCAAATTTCTCGATACAAGATTGCTTAACTGAGAATCTAAATCCTAGCTACGGATACTATGTATTAAAGTATTGTAAAACACCGCTTCTCCCGTTTTACAATCATGATGCCCCAGGCCCCGTGCAACCTCTCGACGGCCCTGGCTGTAGAGCCTCGTTTTCGTGTTATGTGACATTAATTAAGGCCTGATGTCGCAATCACGAAAACGAGGCTCTACTGTATAGCCAAGGTGACGTATACTTTCCGGAATGGTGTATTGTGTCTCATTGTTCGTTGAATGTCTTTCATTTTCCAAAAGTACTTAAAATTTCAAAAATTGACATACAGTATAAATATATGAAAATTCCTTGGCTTTAATAAATGTAAAAAACCTTGCATTTCTACAGAATAAAGAAGAGGTATATTCTCACTCACATTTTCCTTTCCTGACACATCTGATCACATCTGGGGGTGAAAGAATACAGGGGCATACAATCGGTAAATCGCCTCAGTTTCCGTTCATGATTCATATATAGTGACATACTTTTAATTTAGTGCTATCAGTTTTCGCACGGAATTCCTGGCAGTTTGTCCTTATAATATTATAGTTTCGCCATGAATAGTCTGTAATATGTCATTAAAGTTAAAGTTCAAATTAGGGGAAGAACCCTGTAATTGTCTTCTACCCTGCGGGATTTGCTGATCCTCAAACAAGATGTAATGAACGGACAAAGTTTATATTGTTTTACGCACTTTTGCGTTTATAGGCGGTTCTTTTAAAACGTGATCGGACGTTTGGCCGACAGACATTTGGCCGACAGACACTAGACCGACAGACGTTTGACCGACAGGACCTTTCACCGACAGACATTTAGCCGACAGGACGTTTGGCCGATAAGACATTTGGCCGACAGGATAATTCACCGACAAGATTTTTTATTTCAAGTTTATTTTCTAAAATAATGCTCACGGGTAATGATGACTCATTGGATGATACAAATTAATCAGACTATTAGTGAAATTAAGGACTCGTGCAGGACTCGTACTATGCAGGACTCGTACTATTAAGGACTCGTACTATGAAAACAAAAGTATCACTCATTTGTTGGTCAAAAGGATGACTCGTACTGTAGGTATTGTTATTTTGTTATTGTGATTTCCCTATATCTAAGAGGCTGGGGAAAACTTGTAAATATGCGTGAAAGTTACAATAAATGTTATTTCAAAACATTGACAATTGTCCTGTCGGCCTAATGTCTTGTCGGCTAAATGTCTGTCGGTGAAAGGTCCAAAAGACGTTTTTTAAAAACTACACTTGAAAACATGCTGTTCAAAATTTTCTTTCCTTTAATTTGCTTAATCTTTTGAAGCTTGAGTAGAACCTTGTCCGGTCCAAAGACACTGTAAATGTTTTGTTAAGCCCTGGCTCCCAGGTTCAAACTGCAACGGAAAGTCGAAGCAAAAGATTTAACGCAGTGTTACACGTTTGATTCGATTTTGTTAAAATATATATTGGTTCTTCATCGGCCTTCTCGGTTTTTCGGCGTTCTGGTTCGTCGGTTGATCTGCCATTATTTACAATTTTGGTAACATTAGGTGTTTTTTTGTAAAAAAAAGTTTCTAAACAGCAGTATTTGAGAACCTTGACACAATGTATGTAGGTCTTCAAGAAAAGCAAGTTGAAATCAATCATCATCATTTTTATTTATTTAAGGTACGGTAAAATCTAAGCACATATTGAGTCTGCACGCGTTGTTACAACGTGAAAGCTCCAAAAGATGGTTAAATATTGCAGTAAATATAGACGTTTCAAGAATTCATCTATCATATCATCTTCCATCCACGTTATACAGATTTGTTTGCATAATACACAAATATTTTGTTGCGGATTTGCCTTCCATCCACACGTATACTGTATCCGGCGAATTTTTGAAAATGCCGGATAAGATATTTCTTGTGGACGGTCGTAAACTGTTTAGAAACGCCTTTACATGCATGTGGTTTCTATGGAAATGAGAAAATCCACGAGGCCTCCGTATGAATGTATACAGTACGAGACCTCGTATCCAGAATCACTCGTTTGGCACCAACACACAGAACAATACCTTGCCTCGCAATTTTCAAACATGACTGTACAATTTTCTAATCAATCAATAATTTGTCTAAATATATTTTCATAGGTTTTAAGGGCGCATATACTTCCTTTAACGAATGTTGCATTCAACAAGTCTGGCTCCAAGTAAGAGATACGTTATTTAAAATACCGTCGAATTAGTTGTGTTGGTTACAATTCGTGAACATATGTTTTATACTGTAACTCTTTTCCAATTTTCGGGGAATTGTATTCGTAGCTATATATAACTACACGCGGGCACCGAATATTCAGGATCTTACTACATTCGTGGATGTTAAAGTTGTTTTAATCTATGGATGTTCTAACAGGGGACGCTTTTCACAAAGATGACGGCCAAACACGGGTTTCTTCGGAAAACATAGCGACGTTAAATTTCCTTTTGATCTCCACTTTTCTCTCCGTAGGCAGCTGTCAGTCGTTCTTCCTCATGTTTTTTACCTTTACTGTTTCCTTTTCCTTGTTAGAGGTGGACCATTAGATATCCTGGGATGGGGGAGGGCGGTGGTAAATCTCCCCCCACCCCCCAAAAAAATCATCCAGAGCGTGGAATTTGAAAAACAATTCATTCAAGCATTTAGGGAAAGAAAAACATCCTGCAAATACACGGAATATACAGAAATATATAGAAAAGATAATTGATGCACAGCTTCTACTGTTCTAGGTTCGTCAAACTCCAAACTTAAAAAAATCTTGGAAGGAAAATTTCTCAATGTCAAATGGTCCGACCCTTACCGGCCATCTTTTGTACTAATCTTTCAACATGGAGGTTCAGCGTTGACTAGGGTGTAGTTATGAAAAACCACGACTGTTGATGTCAGCCTGAACAGATTAAAACATAAAATGTTTAAAAGGAAAACCCATTAGTGGCCATCTTTAGTACTATACTTTAAACATAGAAGTTCAACGTTGACTAGGATGTATTTATAAAAAAACACACGACTGTTGATGTAGCCTTGAACAGATTAAAACATTTTTCAGTATCATCATTTCGTTAAACCTCGCCAGGCTGTTGAGAATCCACAATTATGGTGTGCAATGTATTTTGTTTTAGTTTTATAACTGGGAGTTATGACAGAACGTGTAAAGTTTGGGATACGTTATCAGGAGAGGAACTTTTCACGCTCGAAGGACATAGAAATGTTGTATATGCCATTGACTATAATAATCCCTTTGGGTGAGTGTATGTATATGATAATAGTTGTTAATTTGGGAGGAGGAGGACAGGATCGTGAAAGACATTGAAATGTTGTATATACCATTCAGCTGGGAGGGGGAGGGGGCGGGAATGGTTATATGCCATTGGCTATAATTATAATCCCTTTGTGTAAGTCTATATAGACAGCTGTTTACTCGCATTCCTGGTTACCACTTACCAGGTCTTACCACTTCCATCGTAATGTAAGCATTAAATGATCATTGTAATGAGTATCTAAATTACATGTGGTGGTAACAACACATGTTACCTGATTACGTTTTTAAATTGTTAGATCATGAAGACACTTCATCTTCCCACGTAAATTTTGCCATTATATTCTATTGCACCAAGTCGAATGAGCTGTGCCTTGATGTGCAGACAACACCTGCATGGTTGCAGTACAGACGTCTTTTTCTTACTATCATTTTCTCTACTATTTTCTCTATATTATATATTTATCTTTCAGAGATAAAATTGCGACTGGATCATTTGATAAAACGTGTAAATTATGGAGTGCAGAAACTGGAAAATGTTTTCACACTTATAGAGGGCATACAGCCGAAATTGTAAGTTATAGAAATATAGAAATAAGATAAATAATACAGTCTTCGTAATTCGCCTCGGCACTCGGCAATTGCCGAAACGAATGCCGAGGCATATACATTACTTGATGCGGCCAAGAAATCGCAATTACAAGAGCTGTAATATTTTAACATAGGGCAATTACGAGAGCTGTAAATTTTAACATACAATAGGGCAATTACGGGAGCTGTAATATTTTAACATAGGGCAATTACGAGAGCTGTAATATACTTTCAACAGCAGAATTTATGCAAGATTGATTACATGACTGGATGTTGTATCTAGTATGTTATTTATTAGTGCAAAGCATGTGTTCGGATTTGAGGTGCCCCAAACTAAATTCCCACATATGTTTTTAGGTTTGTCTTCAGTTTAACCCACAGAGTACTTTAATTGCAACGGGCAGTATGGATACCACAGCGAGATTATGGGATGTTCAAACTGGCACAGAAGTTGCTACACTTACGGTAAAGTTGGACTACAGTTATTATTTCAATGGCAATGTTTACTTTCTGAATGATTGAAGGAAGCGCATTCATCCGTGGGAATGCTCTAACAGAGGAATGTGAATTGCTTCATTCCCATCGTTCAACTTGGGATGAGTGGCTGAGTTTTGTTTGAGTTAAGCATAGGATGAACTTGAGCAAAAATATTCACAATGGCGGACTCTGAAACTTTCAACTGCACTCTCCTAACCACTCTTATTTCATCCTATACTTGCTCATACTTGTATTTAAATAAAATGTGAGTAATATTATTTTCTAATCTAGATGAAGATCTTTCTAAAACTCATTAGTGTTGGAACTAGAGGGGGCAGGGGGGCAACTTCCCCCGTTAATTGCTGAAAGTTTTGATTGGTTGCTGAATAACTGTGTAACAAAGCTGTTATAATTTTCCAACCATGAAAGCACTTGCAGGCTATAAATTAAGCAAACGTGCATCAAATGCAGGCCAAAAGGTTTTGCAATTTCTGATCTCAATAGGAACTTTTGGAGCTGTATTAGTTCAATATTTATAACTGTACTGTTCGTTTATGTTTCTAGGGTCACACAGCTGAGATCATCTCGTGTTGTTTTAATGAAACCGGTGACAAACTGCTTACTGGATCATTTGACCACACTGTCAGTATCTGGGATGTAAAAAATGGCAGGTGAACAACAGTTTATATCAAACCTGTGATTATCTTTTCCACAGACACAGTATATCTGGCGATTCCTGCCACACCCGTTCTCTCAGTAACGGATCGCCACCTCCCATTTCTCAAAGGTTCTAATCTGAAAACTCAAGGTCCAATAATTCAAGACTTTTACAGTACAGTGGAACCCCGCCTTACGGCCACACCGTTAATACGGTCACCTCTTTATTACAGCCACTTGTTTTTGTTCCCGAAAAACGCCAAGACATTTTTCTTATACTGTAGATACTCCGTTAATATGGCCACTTCGTTAATATGGCAAAAAAAATTTTCGGCCCGCGTACTTGGCCGTATTAACGAGGTTTCCACTGTAGTTATGCCTCACTGCTCTTCTAATAATTATTGCCACATACCTGAGCTTGGAAAGTTTGCTGAAGGTCATATGGCATCAACGAAATGCAGGCAGGCAGATAGTGAGAGTACAGTACCTATACGCGGTAATTAATTGACTGAAAACAAAGACCAGGCCATAATATTGGCGGTCCTCGTGTACCTAAATACGCGGATTATCGCACCTTGTATCGCACATTAAAACTACGCTTCAACCATGAAGCCTTTAGCCTAGTATACTTTTATTAGTTGTTGGACGGCTGCGGCTCTCCGTTCGCACGAAACTGAACGAATTTGTAAGGCTTTAGCTGTTCAGAGCATAGATATCTTATATAAACTAGATAGCGCATCTCTTTTAGTAAAATTGAAGCCAAGAATATTCCAGCGGTTACCCCCCATTTGAATAGATGGCGGCCATGTTGAAGTTTCCCACTCGCTAATAAACGCTTAAAAAAACAACAATAATTTTCATCATTTGAATAGTTTGAAAATGTATTTGGAATAGGTTTAACTTAATGTTTAAGTTCCCTGTTTAAGAAGTAGAAAACATACGAGTCTTCTCATTTCATGGGAATATCCTGAGTCTGCAATCACGGCTTCAATCTTTGAATTCCGGAATAATTAGATGCACTATCTAGTGTATACAAGATATCTATGGTTCAGAGGGAATGTGTTGTCATACTCGATGTGAACGGTCGGAATACATGTTGGCAGCCATAATTTTGCATTCCTTCCCAATATTTCTCAAATTGTCCACACACTGATCGTACTCAATGTTGGATATTTAAATTTTATTACATTTTGTAAAATAGTATTTGCTATTTAGGGTTTATTTTAGCATTAAATTTACCAATCATAATTCCTTTGTAGGAGGATACACACGTTAATTGGACACCGAGGAGAGATCTCAAATGCGCAATTTAATTTTGACTGCTCGTTAGTCGTCACTGGATCAATGGTTAGAACTTTAATTGTTTTTGTTTATCGCCATGCAAACATTCAAAGAACTGGTTAGAACTTTATTGAATTCTTTATTCCATATTTATATACCAAGTACTTTCTGGCTGAAGCTGATATATCTGATATACTGTACTCTATCCCTTTCCCTGTAGGACAAAACTTGTAAAATTTGGGATCTGGCAAGTGCAAAATGCATTGGAACATTAAGGTACAGTAAAGTCAGTAACTGTTGATTTCTTTCAATACGTGTCCAATTAACTCCCATCCCGCGGTTGACGTAATACGGATGACGATCGATGACCATGGCTTTGACATGGTACGCTCTTTGGAAGGGTGCACCACACTGCAAGTACATGTATGTACTATTTACAACATGAGTGGCCGTGTTGTACATCCGATACAACACGGACAAGCATGTGGTAAATGGTTTGTGAGAACATTCATATTCTTCAACAATTTAAAATAAATGAATGATATTTGGTGAGAAAATTTAACTTTAACGAAAATTTAACTCCTTCACCCTCATGATTTCTTTTGTGTTTTCTTCATGAATCATTGCTGAGTCTCACGAGCTTTGATCAATGTTTGTAACAGTGAATTTCATACACAATTTTAAGAAAAATTCCTCGTGAGTAATTGTGCTTACGAGTTTATAGAATAGTAAGGCTATTATTATGGCTCATTTCGTCAGCAAATATCATGGTATGCAACGCCCAGCTCTGACACTGTAAGCTTGTTCAGCATATTACAGACGACATATCGTAGAATATGTCTAAATTTTTTCGCTATGTGTTACAGAGGTCATGATGATGAAGTACTTGATGTAGCTTTTGACTATACTGGAGAGCGTATTGTAACTGCTTCATCAGATGGTACGTTACTTGTGTTATTTTATTTTTACAAAAATGCCAGAGTTTTATTCATTAGACAGATCATGGCATTTATGCGCAAAATCCTCAAATAAATCGTTTTCCTTCGGTAAGGAATATCGTCCAGAATAGAGAGCTTAAACAAGCGACGTTTTTTGACAACACGGACATCACACATACATCATTTAGCCGTTAAATATGGCGTCAGCAATTCTTTCTTGAAAATCAAGAACGGCAGTCAATATAGCTTCACGTTTGTAATTTCAATATCGCTATCTATAACGTCTCGATTGATTTCCGGTTGGCATTCGTGAATCAAAATAACATCTTAAAGATGACACGTTCATTAGAAAATTATTCGGTCCACAAGCAGCCAATCACGAAACTTGTAGGATGCGACCCTTTAAATTTAATGAAAGAAAGGGAAAAATTATTCGAAGGCAAATCGAATGAAGTTGACTTCTAAAACATCATACAAATTCTTACTTCTTGCTCAGGAACTGCCAGAGTATACAACGCAGTGACGCAGCACTGTATAACAAAACTGGAGGGACACGAAGGAGAAATATCGAAGGTACAATTACACTTTGTGGATTTCATTCTATGCATGGGAAATTTCAATAGCAGGCTGCAGGCTGAAGTTGTGAAGACAACATCCCCATGGAATATCCAGTAGCCATGAAATAATAGCCAACCTGTATATGCAGGCAGATGTAGTAGTCGTTTACTTGACTGCCTTAGTTTAGTGCTTTGCTATAAATGCAATATGTTTGCTTGTCGCTTCCTACTGACTAAAGATCTTAGTTCACATCGGAACTCCCTCCTTAGTCCTTGCATATTTCAGGCGGACGATAACTACTGTAATACTCAAGCTGTAATACTAACACTTTGCTTTCAACTAAATTTAGGCGTGTTTTAATCCGCAAGGAACACGAATTCTTACTGCAAGCAGTGATAAAACAGCTCGGTTATGGGACCCTACTACAGGGGAGTGCATACAAGTAAGTAATCAAATCTCGTTCAGATTTTATCTTACTTTTCTTTTATTAACACATACATGATTCGTTAATTTATACCGAAAGGGAAATGAGCCAGCAAGAGGTATTTGTAGTTTTTAAAGACGTGTACAGTATACTAATAAACGCGTAGAATTAATATTTTGTTCGCCTTTTGAACAAGCGAACCAACCCTTCTCAGAACCACGCTACTTGCTGTGTATTTTGCTTCCCGTTGTATAACAGCCATCATGTTACTTTATTAGCTCCCACTTTACATATTACTTCTTTCCAGGTTCATATTTGAACTTTTATCATTTCTCCAGGTTTTGGAAGGCCACACAGATGAAATATTTAGTTGCTCATTTAACTACGAGGGCAATATAGTGATTACAGGTTTGTATTTCTGCAGAGTAAGGATCAGTAATCAGTAAGCTTTGTTAGTCGAGCATAACACAAAGAGAACACTTGCAATGTGGGCTTCACGTAGGACTACGATTCCACTCAAATGCACTAAAGTTTTCGCTATAGATGCGTAATATCCTCTCAACTCAACTTTTGTGTATCTCTTGTCCTCGTTTGACTGGGTGTTAAAAGCCCATCTACAAGATATATATTCATATACGATTCTTATCCTGGCGTACTGTTTTTACTCGAATAAATGCTTGTAAATATGGCACATTTCAAATTTCACCATAAACTGATTAACAGGAATAGTGGCGTCAGCAGTCGTTTTCATACCCCAGAATGACAATCATATACAACTGGTCGTACCGTGTAAATGGGCGTTAACTCGCATGCAAACTCTCGCTTGCTCATCCTCACTTCACCAGGGCTTTATTACTGAAGGGCCTTGTAGATGAGCTAAACAGAGGCCACTTGTCGAGCACTAACCTTGTGGTTACAGCTCGACAACTGGCCTCTGTAGCTCAGTTGGTTCGAGCACTGCACCGGAATCACAGGGCCGCAGGTTCGATTCCTGCCAGGGACCTAAAGTTGCATTTTTTGCAACTGTTCCTGGTTAAGTTTAATAAATGTATATAAATTTCCACTCGATGTTTTCCATCTACAACACCCTTCAACTATTATTCAATCGAGTGAGATGCCAACAAAATCTCTTTTTTGCTAAAACCCACTAACCCAAACCCAACCTTACTCCTGAGAGTGTGTGTTCGCATGATTTTTTTCATTTATTTTAGGAAGCAAAGATAATACTTGTCGACTGTGGCGATAACAACATCAAGAGGGGCATTGACTCCTCGTATAATAATTACATACTTAGGATGCTATATTGTCAGACTCACTTGGACCTATAATAGGAATTAAAAAATAAGGTACTGTTGTCCATCGAAGACGTGATTAGAAAGTTTACCACACACATTATTCAATAAGAGGTATTAGGACTATAAGATTGTCGTTGTATTTTAGTATAATTGTCCACAAGGCATGTCGTTTTATTTCATGTCAAATTATCTTTATTAAAATAATTTTATATTATTAGACTTATGTAAATCAATAAAGTTTAAATACATCAATTCTTATGCGTTGTCCAAGGCGGCTTGCTAAATGTCGAATGCGTTCAAGTGGAAATGAACACAATGGTTTAGAAACACTGCATAATAATAGTCATAGGCGTACGAGACAGTGCTTCCACTTGCAAGGATTTTTGTGGAAGCACTGGTACGAGAAGGGAAAATTGGAGGGGCAGAAAGAAATTTACCCAACTTTTTTGCATTTACCCCAACTTATCAAAAACATTTTCGAGGGGGGAGGTTGGTCATGCCAGCTTTTGGACAAGGAAAATTTGTTCGTGTGTACGGCCGCCAAGGAAAATTTGACAAGTGTACAAGAAATAGTTCTTCTACTCTGGGTTTTGGCAAACAAAAGGCGGCCTTGATATGTAAATATAAATGATAATAACATTCCCTGCACACTAGCAACAAAACTTGTCAAGGTAAACTTGTTAGTTGTTAACCGTACTCATGAGAAACGAAACTGGTCAAGGTAAACTTGTTGACTCATGAGAAACGAAACTGGTCAAGGTAAACTTGTTGACCCATGAGAAACGAAACTTGTCAAGGTAAACTTGTTGACCGTATCCATGAGAAACGAAACTGGTCAAAGTAAACTTGCTCATCTGTGCAGGGCTTAAGTGTTGAAAATTCGAAACATTTTGTTCCAAGGTGAGCATGGCAAGGGTGGCATTGTGTTTTTGCAGTATTAGTCAATATTCTGACAATATAAAGTATTGAAATGAGCTACAAAACTCAGTACTGGTAGTGCTAGGGTGATCACACCAAACACAGCCACAGCACATGTTGCCAGTTTACCCAATGGAGTTAATGGTATTTCATCACCATAACCTATGGTAGATATAGTCTGTATAATAAACCAAAATGTTGATGGTATACTGTTAAATGGACTGTCCATGTTTTCACCTTCGATATAATGCAAAAGACTTGATGCGAGGATAGTTATAATAACCAAACATATCATAAACAAACCAAGGTCTTGCACACTCTCAAGCAGACAATATCCAATCACTTTCAAACGTCGGGAGTAACGAGAAATCTTGAAGATACGAAAAATCCTCACAATTCTTAGAATGTGAAAGGCAGACACGGCGGAAACGTTAACTGAGCCTGCAGGCAAGGCAAGCATGACCATATAAGGTAGAAATGCCAGAAGATCAACTATGTTTAGCGGAGACTTTACAAAGTTCCATTTGTCAGGAGAAAATCCAAATCGTAATAGATATTCAAATGCAAAGAGGCAGTTTATGACAACTTCTAGGGTATACCAAATTTGTTTGTTACTATACCACATATAACCTTGAGAAACCTGAGAGTTGTCAGGAGTGAAGTTGTAATCTCCTAGGCTGTGTTCTGGTATCACACTTGGATTCGTGTTATTCACAGTCATACCGATAGTCAGAAGTACTGACGCAATAATTATAGTCAGTGACGTCACGGTCAGAATATTCGCCATCTTTGAAGTATCGGGATATTCTAAACATTCCCAAACCTGTTTTTGAAACTGGTTTTCTGGCAACCGTCGTGGTCCGTCAAATACATAACCTTCCTTCCGAAATAGTTTGTCTAAGACTTCATCTCCTAGTTGAAAAAATTCAACTTCTTTTTTAAATACATCGAAGGGCATATCTGGAGGCTTGCTGAGTCGTCCTTGAGATTGGTAGTAGTAAAGAATTGCTTCAAAACTTTGTCTGTTTCTGTTGAAAAAATATTGCTTGGAATTGCTATCATAATATTGTTTTCTTTTTTCTGAGCTTCCTAGTAAAGTATGTGGAAATCTTGCTAGTGTTGTTAATCTGGTTTCGTATATCACACCACTGATATTGATCACGACACGTCCTCCGCATGACTCATTCTCCATTATTGTTTTAATGACGATGTAATATTTCGGGTTTTTCAAACTGTCCTTGTTGAAGTCAGTGTTGCTCTATTCCCAGCATATCAATTCCATCTTGTAATCCCTAGACAAAGTGTAATTTTTTTCATTCGACTGCTATAACCTCTGATCCTATGTAATTTACTGTTTAATTAAAAGAGGAAAAATAAATTTTATTTATTGAACCTTATAAAATTAAATAACATATTTTAAATTGTATTAAATATTTAAAGGCACTGGCTATTCTAAATAACAATATAATGAGTTAGAAATCTCTAGGAAGCTATGTAAATCAGTATGAATGTGTTCTCTGACACCATGCATGCATGTGTTGTAGGCTACGTATTTAGGAATGACATTCATTGTCTTCCTACGATTCCTTCACGTCTACAAATTGCGCGGCTTTATATAGAATGTTTTTGAAGGTTTTCTTGGTGATGAACTTGGCGTTTCCACACAATTCAAAGCAATCACATAAAAATGACAAAAATGATCAAATTTCTGTTACCTTATTCTGCGCGGTTTCTCAAGACCTTTATTGCGGAAACAGCGATCCTCTTTTAAGATTGTATTAGTAATTCATTTAATCGTATAATAATACTTTACCTTTGCTTTGTATAGCAATGTCAGTGCCAGTGGTTTAGCAAGATCTCTACCCCAGAATAAAAAATCGTTCCCAATATGTCTGGCTCCAGCCAACTCCAGCTCAGTTCATATTTTGCAGGTTTTCTTGTTTCAGTTATACTAATAGGGAATTATAAATTCAATTTATCCATGACAATAGACAAACGTAGCTACATGGTGTATAACTATACAATATTTAGCTATCTTTTGATTTTATTGTAACTGTGGCTGAATCTCGTCAACAATCAACTCATTACTCCAAGTAGCCTACAGTGAATTCAGTCTCGATGTTAAATTTCACCTTCGGAGTCAATATATTTGCAGACATTGCAGGTGACTTTTTGATAAGAAAACATCTGCAAACCAATTAGAGATCTTCGTTTCTGATTAATATTGCAAATAGCTGATAAAACCCTACATTTATACAACTTTTTACAGTTTCTCTTACATTGTAGTTGCAATAGGTATTGTACTGATATAGCTTGAATCTTTTGATATTTTATTGTCTTTATACTTCTATCCTATTATATCTTCTTGTGAGAAAATCATCAGAAATACGAATTTAGGTCATTAACATTTCATGAATAAAATAAATGTAGAATTATATTATTTTAAGCCCTTAATCCTCTTTTCTTCAAAATCCTGCGCCGTGTTCATTTTACTAAACTACAGTATTTGCGTTTTTATGCTTGTACATAATAACTTGAATAGTTTTTTTAAATTTGTAGAAATTTATTCTTTAAGCCGTTGAGGAGAAAGTACTGCATAGGAAGGTTTGTCTAATTATTCTCAAAGGTCTTGTCGCGTTGTCGGGTTTTGTTTAACGTTCATGCAATATTAATAAGTTCAAAGATTAAAAACACAAACACTTGTGTGCGTTTTTAAACATGCAGAAAAATGATGATGACAATGTATTTTCATAGTCATAGACGCAAGTCAAGTGAATTTGAGACTATATATGAGTTTTGAACTTTCAACATAGATATTATGCAACACGAACAATAATTTGTCTTCGTATATTAGGGATTTTTTAAATAATATAATTATAAATAATTTTTGTATACGTGGAGGTTTTCTCCTCATATCCTCTGCTTTAACCGGCTTTGTTTGCAAGCCGTCAATGTTGATCTTAATTGGAACAATAGAGGAGGGCACAAAGTCAAAGAAGTTTAAGTTTAATGAATTTTGACATTTACATATACTCTGCATTACATTATTTGACATACAGTAGAGACGTATGCAGATGCAGAAAACAAAGGCAATAACAATTTATGTGACAGGGGTTTGGAACAGAACTCACGTCCAAATTGATATCGAAATCCACGAGAGATCAAGAGAGACAAGATTCATCTATTTATTATAAAAGCAGATGAAGCTCTCTTATGCCCAATATGCATGTTTGTGATATTAGAGCAGAGAGCTTTATTACAATCTAATTCGTAAAACTTGCCATGTCACATAGAATTTGAATCCACATACATTATGCTCTCACTGGCTAATATGGCAGAACTAATCTTTATATAGGTTCAGTTATATGGTTGTGAAAATAGCACCTATATACAGGGGGTATCAGAAAAACCTGCACAGTTCGAAAATGTCCCTTAAAGGGAAATGGCAATATAAATTTTTATTTTCTCGTTTGAAACAATATTTGAAACAATATAGGCTATTACTTCTTTTACCGATTTTTCATATCTTGCTTAGTTCTTGAAATATTTTCACTTGAAGTATTGAGATGTCCGCCATCTTGGATAAATTTTCGATTCATTAACGGTAGTTTTGGTGACGTCACAACAGGGATTAACCATATAAAAGTATTCGTTGCTGACCAAATACGGATTGGTAGATGTTTTAAAGGTTTTGAGCGATCTTGATATTTTGAAGGGCAGACAGAGTATAGTTTTGTGCGCAAAATGATTAGTGTTTGTCTAGATAAAAATGGATGGCGAACATTTGATTCCTTTCAATCAAAATATTTGTAGAGGTAAGCAAGATGTGAAAAAAAAACGGTAAAAGAGTATTATATATAGTCTTAAAAGTTTTTTCAAATGAGAAAATACTGGAAAATATATATTGCCATCTTTAAATTGCAAATTCCCGCGTAGAACTGATTGTGAAAACTTTATGCAAGCATGGGTAGGTTGAAGTCTGTTAGTATCTTCACCAGTGAAATTATTACTTAAAGTAAATTTTCGAGCGCAGAAGGGTTGTTTTTGAAAATCTCTCTAAAAATGGGTTGCGCACAAAAGTGGAAGGCTTAGAAAAGGCAATTTGAAATCATATAGGGTGCAAATTTGGAAGATGATACCAGCAGCTTGTCCTCCTGAATAAGTCCAAAATTTGCCACCCAAAATTGCCACCCATAAAAACATCATGATCCCTTTTAGCCTTCCCAATGTTTATACCGTATTCCTACACTATCTGTTTTTGCCACCCTGAGTGGATCAATAACTGAATGTAACACTCAGCTAGTCCTAGCAAATCAATTCGGTTTATCACATATCCATGGATATTATTAAAAATCAAAGTTAAGGTTGTGTCAATAATATAATTTCCTGTTCTTAAAGCTGCATATTAATTACCAAGTCAAAAAAGAGGAAATGAAAGTTACCGAAGAAGGGAAATATTTGCGCCTTCTTTAAAATAATACATACTCATATATATAGCATTCAATGATTGCTTAATCATTCTAGCAAGTGAGAATGCGTCGTGTGATACCGGTATTTTATTTAGGGTTTGTCAAAAGCCGTCAAAGGCAACAGTTGCAAGTGGAACGCAGAGAATCTGATGGAAATGGGTCAACTTCATGACACTCATGCATTCTCTACCTCACTCTTTCGTTTCGCCTTTTCCGATTAATTCTTTCATTGTCTTTTGCGGGTCTATGTCGGGATGGATTATTACTTTATTAATTGGGCGAGCAGCGCATTTTTAGGGGGGAGCAAAAGCTATCCCGTCCCACTTCAGTAAAATATTCGGGGCCCCTGCCCCCTAGTAATATCACCATATGAGGCGTAAATGTTGAAAGTAACTTGATAACTATTTCAACATCTCTCTCTTGATTGTTCACTGACTCGTCTCATGCAGTTCAGTTGCTCACCCTCCGTACGTGCATTTATGGAAATGCATTTCAGAGTGGGCCTTCGCCTTCTATTATTGTGCCAATTTTATTTATTTTTTCAGCAAATTTTAACTGTGACTGTTAAAGGATCAGATATTGTTTGGAGGATCTCGAGTATCTATTTTAGTATACACTTTATGCATTCATTAAAGTTAGATCAACATTACTTACAAAACACGGCGGAATAATGCCTCATTCTGAAATCTCTCGGAGCTCGGTTCAACGAAAATAGGGAAAAGTCATTTCTTTTCAAGAACAAGAACCAACAATAATGTTTGAAACTGTATATTAAGTGGTTGGTAAACTCATTTGAATCACACCAATAAGAAATATTAAATTTTCTTTATAATTGGACATTTTTTAAGGAATTCGTACACTGGCTAGCCTGGTTGACTGTTTCTCTTAGAATTTCTGAGTCAGTTTTGAGAATTCTCAGTTTTCAAAAAAGTTTTTACTGGTCGGGTGTACTTGATGATCGACCATCAACTATAGTTACAAGTAAAAACTTGAACCGTCTGTGCCAGTGCAGGTATATAGTGCCAACATGTTGACAAACCTTGATAGGGATGCAACTACCTGAAAAATACAAGGAAAACTTCGACATTCCGTGAGCGAATGCCCTTCAAACTTCCCGAAGAAGGGCCTTCGCTCGAAATGTCAAGGTTCTCCTTGTATTTTTCAGCTGTCGAAGTTCTCCTTGTATTGAGGCAGTGGCAGGAATCACAGGAGCTTCTCTGGAAGGAGTGGTGGAGGAAGTTGTGGTTAACAAGTTAAGAAAGTTGGTCATTTCCAAAGCAGCAAAACTAGCAGCTTCTGCCATCGCTGGTACTGTAGCAGGGGCACTAGCTGGCATGGCTGTAGAAGTTATCATTGGCTCCATCCTCGGAGCAATTGAACAGGATCAGTTAGAATCAAATTTACAAGTACTCCAGACTCACGTGGAAGAATTTATCCCCGCCTCGGGTACACTGATACTGTAATAGAAGTGATGGCAGAGGTGAAGATATGGCACACAAAAAATAATTAGTAGACATTTCGTTATTACGTTTAATCTAGATTCAATTGTGAATAAATGTTAAAAGCCTTCTGCATCATTTTATGAACTTTTTATCACTGCACATTTCTTAATTAGGCAATATTGGGTCTGCCAGACACTGGTACCCTCCTAAATATTTTACAGGTGACTGATCCTTGAGATAAATTATACATTGATTATACAAAATTGTCCATTCAATTGCCTATATCGCACGCAATTCATTGAAATTAAAAACACTCGAATATTTTTAAAACATTAATTTAATTATTATCAAAATTTACAACAATTGTTATCACTGCACATTTTTACTGCATGTTTAATTAGATAACACTCAATAAATATAGTTCGTCAGTATTATTATTGTTTTTATAATGAATTAAAGCACTACATTGATATTATTTAAAGCACTACATCAAGTATGAGTTTGAGTGAAACCTTCAAAGAAGCAAATTCAAATTAAAGTTCATCGCGAGTTAAAGCAGTCCAATAAAATAAAACTCGAAGTGACTCAAGATTTTGAGGAAAATTACTGAAAATTATGAGCAAATTTACTCGATTGTTTTAGTAAAATTTCGAATAGTTGCACAATTTTTTGAGTTATAAGATTTACCCATTCAAAACCAGTATAAATTTGCTAATAAATTTCAGGTATGTGCTTTATTTTACTCAAGTTTTTAAGCCGGAATACTCAGACACGTTTTTCTTGCAGTATCTTCCTAACTCTCCTGACAAAGGTCTATGAGAAATACACCTTTTTCCTATTGAGTTGCTCAGTGTCGAAAAATCTTGCAAAACGTTCCAACTTATACATTTAGTTTTGAATTTGAGGCTGGACTGAATGTATAGAAAGTTGACCTTCTGAGTTCGTTTGAGAGAACTGCTTCCATCGAGAGGCTAAGTCTGCAAAAACAAAAAGTTAGCATCGTTATTTTACTGGCACTGCATGGGAATTTTTCAAATTGTCAACTGGAAATGGATTTTTGACTTTCATAGATAACAGTAATTCGGACAATTTCCTTTCTGTTACAACGCATTACACAAAAGAAAATGATAGACCAAATGGGCTAACGTCGGTTGATGGGTAAATATCGGAGAAGTTTGGGCCAATCTCGTTCGATAGAATTAATAGCAGAAGGTAGTCGAATAAATATGGGTTTTTGTAGATGGTAGAATAAAATAAATAATTGTAGAATAGTAAAATAGATGATAGAATATATCATGTATCATAATTTAAATACTCATGTATCGGGAGGGGTTATATACAGACGATATTTGGTGTTAGTAACAAAAATTTATTGTACCTGTAAACTATACCGTGAACGAAAAGAAATATAAACATACAGTATATAACAAATAAAACAAGTTGGTTAGCCTAGTTGTAATACTGTAATGTGATTATCGTCACTCGTCTGAGAAGTTGGAATCCCTATCGCTGCGTTAATAAATATCTGTCCAATAATAAGCCCATGAGCTTAGGGGATTAAATTCGGGGAGGGGGGCTTGTATTCCGGAATGGCCTGAGCGTTAGTAAATATGGTGGGCTTATATTCGGAGGTTTACGGTAGTTCTATGTGTGTAAAATACTAACCATCAACATGCCGAGCGTTTTCTCTCATCAGAAATTCTGTACGAGATTGTTCCAATCCAACCTTATGATGAAGAGAGTGCGCGTATTTATAGAAATCATTCTGTATTCTGACCAAGGATATGATAATAAATGGAACAGCGATGACAGCAAAACACACGAGAAGCGAACGAATGATTAACCAGAGAACATTACTTCGTATGACGTCATCAACATGTGACTCGATACGATTCGCATCGTTCACTTCCAGCCGTAACATGAGATCGCCGTATTTGGTCATTAGGTCAAACCAATCCATAGCATTATCCTTGGAAGAATTTGTGAAACTATTGGAAGCAATGTACTGGCGTTTTGATTCGATGTCCTTCAACCATACAGATGCGTTCATTTCTTTTTTCAGAGAATAGTAGTTGTTTTTTACGACTGAAGAAAAGAGTAGTCCAGTGTCAAGAAATGCTTGAGCTCGCACTCGTTTCTCGTTGTACATTGTGACATTCTGAAAGGTAAATTCTTCTCCATGAAGAAAATACATTGCTCCAAACGTTTTCTCCAATTCCAGTTCCTCCTTGGTGTTTAGAATCATGTGATAGGCGAACAAATCATCGGCATGGTTTTGGATATCTTGTGTAACAGTGTAGTGGGCTAACCAGGAAATCAATTCATGAGTCCAACTGGAAAAGATACGGATCAGTTCATGTACCATCAGTCCGTCACCACTGTCAGTTTTTGACCGAAAGTGACGAATTTCATCCAAGAAAGAGTCTGAGTCTGAAATAGTCTCACAACGAGCTCCGGGAAGTGTATAACGCCAATTCTTTAGATCGTGGATACTTTCATCTGTACTTTTTCGAACCTTAACATAATGTGACGAAACATTTATTCATTTAATTACAATACAATAGTAACTCCGAAAAGAGTAAAGATTGTGGAAAGTGTTTATTCGGCGTTTTGACTAGATTTTAGTCATCATCAGGAATGATAAAAGTATTACATATCATAGGTAGATAATTATCTTTAGTATTTTTGCACTAGTGAATATAACAAATCCTACAAGTTGATTTGTCAAATGAACATAACAAAACCGAAATTTGCAAAATGGTGGCTAGTCGTTTTGTGGAAGTTATACTGATAAATAAATTCAGTCCCAAAAAACACAAAAGACTTGTGTAAAAATACTCTGAAAACAATTATTCGCCTCAGGCTCGGTCATTATCGGGGAATATTCACATCGACGTCGTTTCGGCGAATTTCCCCGATAATCACCTCGCCTTCGGCGAATAATTGTTAAATAATTGAAGAAATATGAGAAATACTATATATTAAGGTCATTATAGTTTAATATTATTAGTTCTTTAGAAGCTTTAGTTCCGTGATCAAGGTTATAGATTTCAGTTTGCGAATCGCAAGTGATTCTTTGAAACTGCCAGTTATAACATTATTTACATATACTGTATGATCATCGTTATAAATTATTAAAAACTTGGTCATTATATTAAATATATGGGCCTATAATCTTTGATTTTGTCCGGCAGGTTGTCGTAAACATCACCGCAATAATTACATTCGTCTTCGTTTCATATAAAGATGACGCAGAGCATTCTGGGAGTAAAGCCAATTTCTCGACGAAGAAATAATACATGAAACACAAAAACGTGGGAAAACCTATGCTTCGTCTATACGTACAATGTATCGCACTGTACTCCACGTAGCCGAATTAATTAGCTGTAGATAAAAAAACACATAAAGATGCCAATATTTTATTTTCTATAATTCACCTTCTGTAACTTCAACGAATTAGTGCTGGTGTTCCATTCCTTGGAAACAAGAAACATGGACGTTTGGCTTCTTTCATTTTGAAGATTATGAATGATCGACGAAACTTTAATACCATGGGCAATGTTATGTTTCAGCTCATGTTTTTGTTTCAGATTCTGTGCGGTGACCACGACATCAACGATAGTGAAAACCATGGATATTGCTGTGACAAGAACGATCATGAAGATCTTGATGATTTGTGAACGCTTATTTCTTGTGCTTATTACCTTCTTAGGATGTTCAGGCGGCGCGCTTGCTTGGTAATTATCTGCGATGCTCGTCATTTTCAATGCTTGTAACTTTCTATAGTGGAAAATGTAAGCATTAATTCATAGCAATTGTAAGCTACGTTTCTGTCAAATAACTCCAAAACTATAGTCACTCCAAATATGCAAGAAAATTAAGCCCGGATGAAACGAGAGTGCATGAGAGTTGGCAGCAGTCACATGATCTTCGTTAGCTGTTCTTAATGCTTTCCTCATGTATTTTATTTAAGTTAGAACAGAACATAGTGTTGCAACACTCATAAGACATTTATCTATAATAACTTTGATACTAATTTAACAAACAAACATTATTTAAATAAGTCTCATTTAAAAAAAATCAAAAAATTAATATACTATCTGTATAATTAATCCTATAGGCTATACATCAATATTTTACACGTAACACTGTAATTTCTCTTCATGTAAATAGATATACTCACCTCAAGCTTTACATTTTTTTTCATATTCATTAACTTAAATTGAACAAGATAGTCCATCATTATCTATGTGAATACTTAGTATAATTAGAGCAAACGACGACAAACTATCATATTATAAGTAAATATGTGAACTAGCTAGGGTTATTCAGGTTTCTATAGACTCCTAGCCCAGAATCGATAATTTAATATATATACACGTATGTTACTAATATCATGCATAGAATGACGAATCAATAAAAAATCTAGAGCTTGAAATGTTCCTATAACAAATCGTGACTGCCAAACTCCCACCACCTCCCATCCTCGTTTCACCAGGGTTATACTCCGGGTAACTGGTTCCTGGGAACAAGCTGTCAGTCTGCAGTACCATGAAATAATAAGAGATCGATGGCTCTAGATATAGAGCTATATCTAGTATATACATATTTAAACTCCAATTGTACAATTATATAGTCCAAAATATTGACAATGGATGATTTCAGTATATATTACATACTAGGTCCAGGCGTCATTTCAAACATCTGCCATGCATGCATGGATGCCAGGAGCCTATAGTACGAATTATTTTAGCCTAGACGAATGTCAATAGCTAGTGCATTGCGCAAAAGTTGATAAAGTTTTTATAGCAAATACTGACGTATAGGCCGATTTTCCTTGTAACTTCGCTATGTTGATCATTAACAAGAAATGACGATGATGCCTTTGATCCAGATGTTAGTATCTTTACACTTTGTGGTATCTGCGCCTTCTATATATATTTCAGTTTGCTTACGTATGTATGTGTGAATATTTATCCATTTTGACGCATATTTGCATGCAGTGTCGTAGAGAAAATTAATTAACCTATTCATATGATATAGATCAAAACTTAAAATTAGATAGGTTATGCAAGAATAAGATACCGCCTATATACACTGTCAATATTTCCAAAATCATATTTTTATTATCAAGTTTAATAACAGATGTAGCAAGCGCGCTCGCTCTCACGTGACGTAAGTCTCTGATGATATTGAAACAAATGAAACAACATGCAAGAAATATTTTTAGTTTTCTTAAATCTAAGGTAAATTGCAACGACTGAAGTCGATCTGAAGACAAACGACTAAAAGTTATTCTCTTATGTTTGTTTAGAATTCTCGATGCAGAAACAGTCAATACGTTTTGATTGGTCAACCAAATGTGAAAAAAATCAGTTCAAAATCCAGAAACATGGCGAAATTTGGCGAAACAAGACTATAAATGCAGCCACACTAGTAATAAGTTAACGCCCTCCTCAGATTAAACCACGGTCAAACCTGAATGAGAGTTGATGAGAGTTACAGGGGACATTTCAAGCTCTAGATTAACCAAAGAAAGGTTTGATGAGTGTTCCAGCCACGTTTTAACTAAAATAAAATACATGACTAGTGTTGGGAAAGCATTAAGAACAGCCGAATCAAGATCGCATGACTGCCAATTATCCTTTCTCATCTCTTTTCAAAGTCCTTTTCATCTTTCCCTCACGGTACTTGTTCGCTATCGGGCGACTGATTTTTCCACCATTTCTGGAGTACTGCCTCTCCCGCGTTTGAGAGTCTCCAGTCTCTTCACCACGAAATACAACTTTTAAGTATTGTAGTTATTTGTATAATGGTAAATTTACAGTTACAACTTTTAAAAGTCGCTTTTCACGTTGTTTGAATTGTCTGGAATCTTTCACGAGTACTCCAAAAATGGCGGATTTTGGCCTTCGTGAAAAAGGCTAATTCTCCTGCACTCTCATCCTCGTTGATCGAGGAATAAGATTGACATTCTTTTCCTTGCGAACCCGCGGAGCAGGATGATACAGCGGATTCGAAAGATGAATATTGAATACTGGGATCTAGCATAGCGTGAATATGATTATTTATGGTAGGAATTTGAATATTTGAGTTTGAATTGGAATAATGAATATGGAGGGCAGGAATATGAACTAACCATGGCCGGAAATCACGGACTAATTTATTAATTTGCATTGATACATAACCCGTTAAAATATGGCTTCTGTAGTAAACAGTAAACAGTATAAGGCCTGTTTTATACGTCGAATTTCGGTCGCGTCGAATGCAATTCAAACAATAGATAATGAAGCTTAATAAGGTTTATTGTCCCATGATCTACAGGTACAGGGTGTATAAAAAAGGGAGACCTTTAGACATTAAACTTATTGTTATAATTTGAATACTACACTGAACACAAGAGTGCGAAAACACAACTGAATTGAATTTTTAATTACCAGCTGGAGCAAAATACATGTATATTGTGCTTATTAACAACAATATTAGATTAATTTCTAAAGGTCTCCTTTTGTATAGTAATACACCCTGTACTGCGCGATGCTGTAAATCGCAAAATAGAGAGTTTGAGCAAGACAACGAAGTACGAAGACGAAGGCATACTTGACAATTTTTGCCGTCTGCACATTATCTTGTGTATACTGTGTTGGACGTCACTGGTGGTTGCTCAACGTGTCTTCCCATGGGTCGCTGTTTATGAATACTGACCATAATTCTTGCCCTGATCCAGAAAAAAACAGCGCGACATGAAACTATATCCCGTCTTTGTTCTTGTGCCTTCGTGCAGAACGAAGTTCACAACGAATTTTGCCAAAATATTCGTTGTGAACGAAGGCAGAAGAACGAAGACGGGATATGGATTCATGTCTCGCTGTTTTATCCTGATCAGGGTAAGGATTTGGGTCAGCATTCACAAACACCTAGACATGAATCTCTAACCTGTCTTCACTCCTGATCCTAAACTTAGAATGCGCAAGATAATGTGCAAGACAGGCAAAAATTTTCAACACGTCGTCGTCGTCCGATTTCGTTATCTTGCTCAAACTTTCTATTCAGGGATTACGGTACTGTAGGTTGTTTGCAATTGGCCTCAAATATTCGACAGTAACTGAAATCAGGCCAATGTTACACTAAATACTTCGACAGACTTTGTTTTGCAGCCAGCGACTGAGGCAAGACGGCAAGTTGCAAACGACCTACTTTATTCTCAGATTTGCCTTATGTTATTCACTATTTACTGCTATTTTCAACGTGATATGCAAATTACGGAGGAAGTATACAGGGTGTATAAAAAAAAACGCAACCTCGGAATTTCCCAAGAAATCGACATGGTTTTAAAGACAAAAGATTTTAGGCGCCTGGGAATTTAAAATGTCAAAATTATTGCACACGCGAGTGCATAAAGCAAAATTTATGCATTTATTTAATGCACAACAACAGTAATAAGATCTATTAGCAATTCGATTTCAATTCCCAGGGGCTTAAAATCTTTTATGCTTAAGAATTGCAAAGTGATTTCTTAGGAAATTCCGAGGTTGCGTTTTTTTTTATACACCCTGTACAGGGTGTCCCAAAAAAAACGGAAACTATAGAAATCACTTATTGTTAAATTTGAATGCCCTACCAAACAGCTAGACGTAATGATGCGTAAAATATTGACAAGGTGCATGTATTAGAATTTAGTTAGGAATATCTCCTAGTAAAGTGCGCGATTTTCTGCTCCTGGGAATTAAAAACAGCTTCTTAAACAGTTTCTTTATGCATAAAATTTACTTATGTCAATCATTTATGCACTCGTGGGAACCAACAGAGCGCTAAGGCATTCAAATTCTAACAATTAAATTGTTATTGGTGATTTCAATAGTTTCCGTTTTATTTGGGACACCCTGTAGAG